TCCTTCTCCTCTGTGACCCATGGTGATTTGGTTATCTGATTGCCCAGATGTGCTGGGGGCTTCTGTCAGCGGGCTTCTCAGTCCCTGCCTGACTGCCATTGGTCAAGGGCACACACCTTTATACCCCCACCCCCGCACACGGCCCATCCAGGGGACACCCAGGCTGAAAGAGCATGGGGGGAGGGGAAGCCACAGTTTCCGTTGCTGTGCTGACCTCTATTGACAACCTTCACTCATTTTAACTTCCCTCCCTTGGGGCCAAGACCTTGGTGGAGATGGGTAGGGGTGAGTCAGCTGTCTCCAGAAGCCCTGGATGGGGGTGGGGAGTGGCAATCTGGTTGTATTCTTAGCCCCATCAGTAGTTTGCTGTGTAACAGCCGATCACTGCTTTGCCCTCTCTGAGCTGTAGTCACCCCATCTGTCAGTGAGGGGGTTAAACTAGATAACCCCAAGGACTTTTTTGCTCCAGAATCCAGGTCTTGGGTCTCGACCCTTACCTGTGTCATAGGATGACACGAACATTGTGGACACAATGAGACTGCAGGGTGCTTTTTAGAAAAGCCTTCCTAGTTAGGCAGGTGAACTGGGGGTCTGGGCAGAGTAGCCCAGGGGTTGGGGTGCCCCATGAGGCCAGAGCTTCCAGGCAAGGGGGAGGAGGATCAAATAGCAGCAGGCATGTCATTATAGCACCTGTGCCTGGGTCCCAGATTCTCCTCCTTCACTTACCCACTGTGAGCCCGGGCAAGCCACCCAGCTTCTGCAATCCTGGGTTTCATCATCTGTACAGTGGGAAAACCACTGCACCATTCCCTCCCAAGGTTCCAGGGAGATAACACTGAGGGAAAGAAATAACATTGTTGACCAAGCACCTACTGTGTGCCAGGCAGTTTCTGTGCCTGTGGGTGGGACAGGCCTGGTTCTGCAGATGAGCACATGGAGCCCAGGCCTGTCTGGTAATTTCTGCAAGATCTCGTATCATAGTCAGTGAGCGCTAGAGCCTGGATGCAAACCCAGTGCTGAGGGCCGACGAGCCTCTGCCCACTGGGTTAGTTCTCCTCCTCTGTTCCCGAGGATAAGCAATTGCTGTTTTACAGGATCAGGGAGCAGGCTAGAGGGCCAGGGCCAGCCCAGAGGGTTCTTTCCTGGGTGCACATAACAAAATGCCACCTATTGTGTCTACTGAGGGCGTCACTTCTGAAAGACTGCTTTCAACTCTCAGTTGTTTAGTTGTGGTGGTAGCTGCTCAGGAGACAATGTTTGTGTGTCTTGGGCCTCTTTCAATTCCAAGAGAGAAACTCAACATCAAGTAGCTTAAACATAAGAGAACTGATTGGCTTATGCAGCTGGGGGAGAAATTAGGGTGGCTGGTGACTGGAATGGAGAGTGGTACTCACCAGGGCTTGGGGCTGGTGATGGGGCTCCGGTGCTGTCTGAAACTCATTTCTGTTTCTTGCTGCTCTCTTTGAGCTAATGTGGGCCTCATTCCTTCCCCCTGGTATGTAGCCATCAACAGCCTCAGTTAAGAATTCCAGGAAAATGAGAACTTCTGTCTCCTTGGGTTTCGGTATCTGTCCCAGGGAAGGCAGCTGATTGGCCTGCTTGAGTCACATGCCCTTCCGTTGATTGGCAGCAGTTATTGTCATGGGGAGGGAGCACTGGGAATGGCCAGGGGTCAGTGCCTGGAAGAGATGAATGGGAAGTAGTGGGCCAATGGGACTCAAGTCTAGGTTGGCAGTTCCTTTTACAGTTAGGCTTACATGTCTCTGATATAATATAGTCAATGTTTCTACACCTGGGTCTCGCCCTGCACACACACACACACACACACACACACACACACACACACGGACAGAGGGCCCACCATACCTAGTGCCTCTTTTGCACAGAGAGAGAAGCTGAGGTTGAGAGAGGAGAGCAATTTGTCACTGGTCTGAACTCTTTCTGGGGAAGGCCAGTGAGGTAGCTATTTAATGACACCAATTCCTTGCAGCCCAGGACACACACCACCCCTCAAAATGTGGCTCCATTCAGAGAAGAAGTCTGTTTCCCCACCCTTTATCTGGGCTGGCCTCGTGACTTTGCTGGGACCAATGCATGTGACAGGAATGAAGCTGTACATGTCCTGAAGCCCAGGCCTCAGGGGCCTTGCAGCTCTGCTCTCACCCTCTTGGAGCCCAGCCCAGCCTCAGGTCAGAGCCCAGGCTGGACTACTAAATAGTAAGAGGCCCGTGCGGAGCGAGGCCCTGAGGCCAAATCGATCGAGAGAGGCCCAGCTGGCCCACCCGTCCCAGCAGAACCCAGGCCTGGCTGACCCACCCGTCCCAGCAGAACCCAGGCCTGGCTGACCCACCCGTCCCAGCAGAACCCAGGCCCGGCTGGCCCACCCGTCCCAGCAGAACCCAGGCCTGGCTGACCCACTAGTCACACGCAGCCATGTGAGCAAGCCCAGTGAGATCAGCAGATCTGCCCGTCAGCCACTATATTTTGACAGGATTTGTTCCATAGCCAGAGATACCTGAATAGGCCAGGCTTAAATAGCTAGAAAGCTAAAAATATGCATTTGCTAAAGATCATTTTAGAATTTCAAAGTCTGGCCACTCACCCTGTCATATCCCTGACGTTCTGGCCATCAGAGCCCCTATAAATGTCTCCATTGCTCTGGGAACAGCATGCAGTCAGTGATTGGGTTTGTCTCACCTACACTGCATCCCTGCTGCCCCATCAGGGCCAGAGAACAGCGGTTGCTCCAAAGTTGCCAAATGAATGAGTGAATGTCTCACCTAGCCTCTGCTTGCATACCCCCAGGGAAGGGAGCTCACTCAAAAGCAGCACCAAGCCCTCCACTTACCCTTCCCTGAAACCAAACTAGTCTCTCTTGTCTTTGCTTAAGCTGTTCCTGGTGCTGGGAGTGGCCTTCCCCACCCCCAGCCACCTGACAACTCCTCCCCCAGCCTCTTCCATTAGGAGGTGGCTCTGCTTGGGGGAAGGTTCTCCTCCAGCTGGAGCAGAGATCCATGCCTCCCCTGTGACCCTGGCTCTCTTCCTGGGTCCTGTGGCAGCCTTGGGTATATCACAATGGTCCCTGACATCTGCAAAGCAGCACAACCTCCCTTAATAGCACACCCATGTACATAGATCGCCAGCCACAAGCATAATCTTAAGGGAAGTGTTCCATCAGGGCCTAAAAGGAGCATGGGCTCCGGGATCAACCCCACCTCTCTATGGCCTTGGGAAAGACTTCCTGTCTCTGAACCTCAGTCTTCTCATCTGGAAAATAGGAGGAGTGAAATGTACCACCTCAGGTTGCTGTGGGGCTTAAAGAGATGATATATGTAAAATGTTCTGCATGTAATCAGCCCTTGATAAAGGTTAGTTCCTCTTCTGCGGGGACATAAACAGTTCCAGATGGCGAGGTCATTTGCACTTAGCATTCATGTCTATATAAATAATGTGCAGGTGGGGGAGGAGTTGTCAGGTGGCTGGGGATGAGGGAGGCTACTCCCAGCAGCAGGAATAGCTTAAGCAAAGACAAGAGGGACAAGTTTGGTTTCAGGGAAGGGTAAGTGGAGGGCTTGGAGCTGCTGGCATCAAGAGCGACAGGAGGGAACATGACTGGGGAGGAGGACAGGCCCACGCCCGGGAGGGATCTGAATACTGGGCTAAGGGTCAGGGGCTTTGCCAAGGGGGTGAGGGGGGAGGTCTGAGGCCAAAAGGGTGAGGTCAGGGGTGGGATTGCAGCCTGGGCAGATTTGAGGATAGATTGGGAAGGGTGGGGAGAGAGAGTCCCTGGGAACTCGAGAAGGGAAGTTGGGGTGGGAGCGGGAATGGCTTAGGCCAGCTTGGGGAGGGGGAGCCTGGCCACTCAGTGTGGGTACAGCCCTCATGGGAAGCAGGACCCCTGGGCCTCTGGCCTGGTACCTCCACTCTGCATCTTTGGTCCAGGCGCTGTGTGAAGAGCACCTTTTCTGCCTGTTCAGTCTAAGAACAGGCGGTGAGGAGGCCAGATCTGCAGTCAGAGTGGGGACTAACTTACCCATTTATCAGTTGAAGACATCGAAAAGTCCCTTTTCAGGTCTGCTGGCTCATGTTAGGAACCATCCTGGCCCCTGAGCTGGGCTGTACAATTTTCTAAGCTCTGCCACAGTTACGGGCTCCTTTGAGACATGCAGCTGCCTTGGGAGGGAGCGAGGCTGGGCAGGGATGATTAGTCCTATTTTTAAGATGTGGAAACCTAGGCCCAGAGAGGGGAAGTGACGTGCCCAAGACCACACAGCAGATGTGTGGCACAGCTGGGCTGGAACCCAGACCTCCTGCCTCCTGCTCGCATCCTCGCCTCTTTCCACAGCACCGAGGGACTGGGCAAGTCGTTCTCTGGGTAAAGAGTGAGGGGAGCCAGAGAGAGGTTGACAGGCATCAGCAGACAACACTTAACCCAAACTGACAATTTAATTGTGAAAATGTGGACGAGGTACAGTTATGTGTAAGGAAATCCAGACGGTCTGGACCCTGGGGAGCCTCGACCAGCACCCCGGTTGCCGGGGAAACAGAGAGGGTTGGGGATGATGTCAGTGGGCTCTGAGGCGGAGGTATGGGGGATGGGCTACCCAGCCACCTTGTTGGGACCAGATGGGCTGTGGGCCTGGCTACGGGCTATCATCCTCGTGGTTAACTCCTTCCCTTACACATGGGCAAAGGGAGCTCCGGAGCTGGGTGGTGACTTGTCCAAAGTCACACTGGGGATCAGTGAGTGAGCTTTCCTCATTCAGGTGACCGCCCATGTCTATGCACCCAGCAGGCTGCAGACACCTTGAGCACAGAGCCAGGTCAAGGTCGTCTGTGAGTCCTGTGCCCAGCACAGAGTCATACAAGGGGCAGAGCTCAACCCTGCAGCGAAGGCTGCTTAACCCTTTTATAAAATGGGCGTGAGGCTGCTTTGGGAGGTGACACTTCTTGAGTTCATAGAGCTTTAGAGGAGGAGCACTGAGCAGTCATCACTGAACTCAGAAAGGGCAGGTCACCAGGCCAAAGTCACCAGCAGTTTGGGGTGTTGCTGGGCTGACCCTGAGTCATGCCCCCCAGACATGACAACTTACACAGTCCTCACCCAGGGAGGAGTGGCCCCTCTCACTGCCACCCCCTCGGCTCTGGGCCAGGGATCTAGGCTTTGGGAAGCCCCCACTGTCTGAAGCATTTTCCCAGAATCCCTAGCTCCTGCTCCGAACATCAACCCACCCAAAGCACCAACAGCAATGATAATAACCACCCTTAGTACGGACTCCACCATGTACCAGGCTCTGGGCTAGCACACTATGCTCCCGACCTCAAATATTGACAACGCTATGAACTGGGAGTTACTGCTCTCACTCTGCCGTCCAGAAAGCAGAGGCTTGGGGGGGCGGCCCACCTGCACACAGCCAGAAAGTGAGAAGCTGGGACTCGCATCCCCGGTCACTCTGCATCTCTTCCCTGGCTCTTAGATCCTCCACAGCCCCTAGGGGAGGGGGAGGCCGAGCTTGGCCTGCTCAGTTTCCCTCCCGCTTCTGATGGCAAAAGCATCTTCCCCTTCTATCGCCCCCACTTTCTGAGGTTCTGTTGAGGCTGCAGTCACAGGGCCCAGCACCTTCTAGGAGGGTAATCTGAGCTCAGCTTCCTCCACTGTCACATCTAAGCCCCAGAGAAGGTGTAAGGCCCAAAATGAGAGAAAGGGAACAGGAGGTGTTCCAGGTCGGGTAAGGGACATAAGCATTGGCTCAGGGGCTAGAAAGTGCAGGGTGTGATGTGGGGGACAAGGAGAAGTCTGTAGGCCGGGGGCAATGTTAAAAGGCTGCCTCACTCGTCCTTCAGTTGGTGAGATACACAAAAGACTCTGGTGCCTCCGTCACAGCACAGCTCAGAAGATAAATCCCACATCCCCTCGGGGTCCCAGGGCAGAAAAGCCCAGCCATGACTTCCAGCCACAGGGCTAGCAGTGAGCAGGCTGCACGCGGTCCTGACGCTGTTGCTCCACTCAAGTCTGGGTGTGGTGGGCTGAGCCCAGAGAGCAAGGTGGTTGGGGTCCAGTGGGAGGGCTTTTGTTTCTGGCTTTGTGGTCAAGTGAGCAAAACATGCAGAAGGTCAGGGCGAAGGAAGTGCAAAAGGAACGGGAGACAAAACTACCATTCGCTGAGCAGCTACTTGATGGATTTCAGCTCAGCTCACAACCTCCCAGAGAAACAGGAGGAAGGCGGATCAGCCCATTTCATCGAACCCAAAATTAGCTCCGAGAGGAGGATCTATCTGCCGGTGATCACACAGCCAGCAGGTGACAGAGCTACAATTGGAACCCCTTCCATCCGTCCTACAGCACATGATTTTCTACAAATGCCAAGTCACCCTGGAGAGAGGAAAGCAAAAGAGAAGGAGGGCAAGACAGAGAGGAGCCCAGCAGAGGGAGGGAGTCACACAGGGAGGGAAATAACGAGGCAAAAATAAAAAAGCAAGAGTGGAAAGAGCGAGAGGCCACAGCTGAGTCCTGGAGCCGGTCCTTAGGGAGTGGCCGAGGGTGGGGACGGCCGGAGACTGGCTCATCAGACCTGGAGCCAAGAACCATGCTTGGCCTGAGACCTAGTGGAAAAGCTCTCACCTCGAGATACTGAAGTGGGGGAAGCCAGCAAGGGGGCAGCAGGGTCTGCCTGGGAGGAGAGGAGCGGACCTGTTGGCCGGGGGCTGCCACGCAAGGCTCTTCACACATCATCCAGCTCAGTAACCACGGGGCTCGCCCAGGCTGGCAGGCCTTGTTCCTGGGCGTGCAGGGAGGGTGATGGTCAGGCCTTCCTGGAATACCAGCTCTCCTTGGAACAGACCCCTTAATGTGGCCTGTAAGTAGGGTGGCTGTGTCCAAACTGGGACACTAGAGAGAGAGCAGGGACAACGGGCATAGGTATGTACGGCCCCCAGCCTTGAAGGTCTTGCATGGTCAGCCCGTCCTGTTTCTGCTGTGGCTGCCCCTTCGCTCTCTGTGCTTCACCCAAACTGGCCTCCTCTCAGATGGGTAGGGCCATCGCCAACACCTCTCCACACCCCTTCCTTGTTCCTACTCACCCTCAAGCCTCGCCAGCATTCTTCATTCTTGTTAAGCCGTTCATTACATTGTGTGCGTTTCCTCCTCTGCACGGATCACAATCACGATGATGAAAATGAATTCTTCATGGTGTGTTTGATTGCTCTGACGTCTGTCTTTCTTCCTAAGGGGAGGGCTGGGTCTGACTTGCCCACTATTGTATCCTGAACACCCAGCCAAGGGCCCCCGTGCATAAATGAATCCATCAACGCCAGGAGCCCTTGTATTTTGTTGTTGTTGTTGTTCTTTCCTTTACAAGGAATGGAAGGAGCTGGTCTTGAAGAAAATAACCCCGTGGGTACAGCGTGCACTTCTGATTTCTCCCTCAGGCTCGGAGCTCCTGCAGGGAGAGGCCTGCCCTTCCCGTCTCTTCCCCAGTCTCTGTGCTAGTCAGCTTCGCTCACTGCTACACGCCAGCTCCTGGGACAGTCTCTGTGCTAGCGGTGGGCCTGCAGGAAGGCTCAAGTTGGACTTACTGATGAGTGATCGCAATGTGAATATCATTGTGGTGGGTCACAGAGGAACTGGTAGGAGCCTGGGAGATTATGAGATAAAATATTAATGCTGAGTCCAGGCCCTGGGTGTTGTGGGCACAAAAAAGAATATTAGTGTTCCTTCTTTTAGAGGTAATCTTGTCCAACCAACCACTTTTTTAATAACATTGTTTAAGTGTACCATTCAGTGAATTTTAGTATTTCACAAAATTGTGCTGCCATCACTACTATCTATTTCCAGAACATTTTCATCACCTCCAAAAGAAACCCCATACCCAGTAGCAATCATGCCACCTTATCTCCTCCTCTCAACCCCTAGCAACCTGACTATTTGATTGATTGACTGATTTGAGAGAGAGAGGGAGAGAGAGAGAGAGAGAGAGAAACATTAATTTGTTGTTCCACTTATTTATGAATTCATTAGTTGCTTCTTGATGTGCCCCGACTGGAGATCAAACCCACAATCTTGGTATATCAGGACAATGCTCTAACCAACTGATCTCCCTGGCCAGGGCTGGCCATCTTATTTTAAAGACAGGGAAACTGAGGCCCAGAGAAGACAATGCCTCATCTAATGCCACACTGTCAGCCGGTGGCAGGGCCAGGACTTGAGCTCAGGCCTCCCGACACCCACTCTTCTCAGTCGGGCAGCGAGTCTGAGCTCTCTCTCCGGCACCCTCAGGCTCTCTAGTGCCTGACACGAACAAGCTATTCAGCAAAGACCTGTTAAGTGGAGCCTAACAGGTAAGACGAGGCTGTCCCATCTTAACTGTTCAGAGCCTTCCCTTGCCCAGATGGCGCTGAGGGGTTTTGAGGCACAGGAGACACACCTGAAAATCATTCCCGACATATACCCCACTTCCTACCATAGCCAGTGTCCTTTCATCGCTGGGGATGCTTCTCACCCCCATCAGCACCCCCCAAGGCCCTTCTTAGGGAGGCTTCGGAAAGAAGACAATGCTCTGTGTTTGGTGGGATCAGGAAGGTGTGGTGTATTATGAGCTTCTAACGCCAGGTGAACCCGTTAATACTGATCGCTACTGACAACAAATAATCAATTTGAACCACGCTTTGATTGTAAAACGACCAGAATAGGCACCATCACACACTTCAAAACCAGTTAAAGACACGTTAAAAGATCTTGCCTGGGAAGTATTAACCCACCCGCCGTATTCACCAGACCTTGCATCTTCAGATTACCACTTGTTCCAATCGATGGCACACGCACTTTCTGAGCAGCACTTCGAAACATATGAAGTGGAAAATTGGGTCTCTGAATGGTTTGCCTCAAAACAAGAAAAGTTCTATTGGGACAGTATCCACAAATTACCTGAAAGATGGGGGAAATGTGTAGCTAGCGATGGACATTACGTTGAATAAAGCACTTTTGATTTTTCTCTGGACATTATCGTGTTTTCTTTGATTACAAAATCCGCATTACTAACCGGTTAAAAAGTAATAATTAATCCACATTACTAACGGTTAATAGTTAATCCGCATCATTAACCGGTTAACAAGTGATCTGCATTACTAACTGGTTAATAATTAATTCGAATTATTAACCGGTTAAAAATTAATCCGTGTGGATTAATTATTAACCGGTTAGTAATGCAGATTAAGTTTTAACCGGTTAATAATGTGGATTAATTTTTAACCGGTTAGTAATGCGGAATAATGCTTTCCCCCCTCTTCCCTCCCTTCCATTCTCTCTAAAAAAAAAAAAAATCAATGGAAAAAAAATCCTAGGGTGAGAATATTTTTAAAAAAAAGTTCGAACAGGCCCCTCCCTGCTGGCACTCCATCCTCCTTCCCGGTGGCCTTTTCCTCCATACACTTACCATCATCCACGGGATATTCTGTATCCTTCGCTTCTTTGGTTACTGTCTCCCCGGCTAGTAGAATGTTAGCTCCTCAAGGGCAAGGAGTTCTGTCTGCTTTGGTTGAATGAATGCATGACTGAATGAATGGGTAGCTATTACTGCATTTTATTCTAATCAGCAATAGTCAGAGAAGGGGTTTTTATGCCTGTTTCATACATGTGTCTCAGTCCACTCAGGCTGCTATGACAAAATACCATAGACTGGATGGCACTTATTTCTCACAGTTCTGCAGGCTGAGAAGTCCAACATCAAGGTGCTGGCAGGTCAGTTCTTGGTGAGAGCCCTTTACCCAGCTTGCAGACGCTGTCATCTCACTGTGTGCTCGCATGACCTCTTTGTGTGCTCCCAGAGAGATGCAGATAACTACACTGATCTCATTGTGGGGGCCCCACCCTCATGACCCACCTAACCCTAATGCCCCTAAATGCCACCACTATGGAAAGTAGGGTTTCAACATATAAATTTGGGGGGGACACAACAGATGGTAAGCTGGGGTCCAGAGAGGTCATCTGGAAACCGGAAGAAGGCCATTATTGCCACCCCACAACCCCCGCCCCCGGACCTGCCAGGGGAGCCTGGAGTAGGTCGAGATGGGCATGAAGAAGTGGGTTTGCCATTGTTTTTAGGAGCCCAGAAAGCAGAGTCAGCCTGTGAGCCCAGCCTCTATTCCAGCGGTTCTCAACCTGTGGGTCGCGACCCCTTTGGGGGTCGAACGGCCCTTTCACAGGGGTCGCCTAAGACCATCAGAAAACACATATAATTACATATTGTTTTTGTGATTAACACTATGCTTTAATGATGTTCAATTTGTAACAATGAAAATACATACTGCATATCAGATATTTACATGACAATTCATAACAGTAGCAAAATTACAGTTATGAAGTAGCAACGAAAATAATTTTATGGTTGGGGGTCACCACAACATGAGGAACTGTATTAAAGGGTCGCGGCATTAGGAAGGTTGAGAACCACTGCTCTATTCCTTCCTGCAGTAATTTATCAGTTTCCACATTCCATGCCTTAGCCAGAATGGAAAAAGGAAGAAAAAGAAAAGAAAAGAAAAGGAAAGGAAAGGAAAGGAAAGAAAAGAAAAGAAAAGAAAAGAAAAGAAAAGAAAAGAAAAGAAAAGAAAAGGAAAGAAAAGAAAAGAAAAGGAAAGAAAAGCAGTACTATTTTTCAAAATGGCCTTAGCTCTGTGAGCTCCAACATGGAAATTGCTGGTCGTGATGTCACAGGCCCTGAGGCCCTCCCCTCCGGGCACCGTTACTGACACCTCACATGGTGGGCTGGGCCCAGTGTCCGCACACTTGCCAGGGCTAGGGGAGCCCCTGGGCAGGCAGTGGCTCCATCAACAAGCCTGGGCCCGACCCCGAGTCAGGATGGCGCCAAGCACTGGGCAGGCAGGGAGCACCCGCAGGTGATAGCCTGTAGAATGCCCCGCTCTGTCATCCAGAGGCTGAAAGGTCCACCGCCCGTGGGACCCAGGCAGCCCTGGGACACTCAGCGGGCCAGTCCCTTACCTGTGTCTTCCCGTGGTGGCAGCGTGCAGAGTGGTGTGGCGCCTTCCCAGGGTCGCCCAGGCAGGGAGCGGTCTGCAGGAGCTTGCACCCTACCCTCTGATTCTAAGTTCCACGGCCCACTGAAGGGGAGAAGCCATTGTCCTTGCCCAAGAGAAGCCACCAGGCTGACACAGGCTGTGGGGAAACCACCGGGTCAAGTCCAAGTCTTCATTTCACAGCAGAAGACACTGCGAGGGGAGGGACTGGCCTACAGTCACACAGTCAATCCACAGGCCAGATGGGGCTGGCTGTGGGCTCCAGACTCCTGGCCAGTAGACTTTCCTACCATATCCTGCATTTAAACAGCTTCTTTTGAGCGGAAGCCCCCCTGTTCCTCAAGAGAAGCCAGGCCTTTCCAGAATCCGGTCTGAGGCTGCCTTCCAGGATCTGCTGTCAAGGCTTATTCCTCAGGGAACAGCTGTTGGCAACAGGAGGGAAGGTATTGATTATGGCTGGGGCCCCGGGGAAGAATGGGGTGGGGAAGGGCAGTGGAAGTTTCTCTGAGAAACAAAACCAAGGTATATTTATTTTTGCTTTTGCTCTATTTTCTAGTTGTTCCGCAGTTATGTAATGCATTTTTCATATTTGAAAGTGATAAACTATTTAATTGGGACTTGTCTGGGAATCCAGGTTGTCTCAGTCCTGACAGGCTGTTTGAACGTGGTCGAACCCTCATCGGTCTCTGGGTCCTTCTTAGAAATGCCAGTAATAAGGTTGCCCTGTGAGAAGTGCATGAATCGAAAGGCTCCCTGGCTCAGGACACAGCTCTCCAGCCTGGTTGTCAGAGATGTTCACCATCCAAAGAAAGACGCTACAACCCAGGAGTGAGGCGTCCAGAGAAAAGCCAAGGTTCAGAGAAGCCTACATGGCCGTGTGCCTGCCCAACACTGTCCAGAAGGTAAGAATTGTTGCCTGAGGGACATGCCCATCCCAGTCCCCACAGAGGGCTTCTCTGCTCAGAGTGGAGATGGTTTATCGGGCTTCACAAAGGTCTGCAGAAAGCACCCTCTGCACTAGCCCTCCTCACCCCTTTGCTCAGATTCCAGGCCCACCAGGCAACAGCTTCCCAGAGACCCAGCTCCCTGGAGAGAAGGTGGGGGTGGGGGTATGGTGGAACAAGAGCACTTCTGTCAGTGGAAAGGGAGATTGTCTGGTGTTGGTTACAACAGTGCTGGGAGGAGCATCGCTCATGAGTGACATGATTAAGGCCAGCCTGTCTGACCCCTGTGGGTGTCTTGAGCAAGGCCAATGTCAGAGCCAGCCAGGTGAGGGCCAGACTGCAGGCTGGTCAATCACCCAGGCCCTGCCACCCAGTGAAATACTAGTAGAGTGTTTAGAACAGAGCTTGCCATAGAATAAGGAGTCAATAAAAATTGCTAAGTGCAAGTTAGCTGTGGCCTATCTGGACAGCAGGGTGAGTGGTGGGTCCAGAAAGGGAAGAGCGCCTTGACCCCAGCCATCGGCACAGCTGGAGCCCCCGTCTCTGGGAGGGACACTGTCTCTGCCGCCTATGGTCACCGGGAGGGCACCTTGCTGACTGTTCTGAAATTTGGTATCACTTTCCTGTCGCCGCCTCTCAGCTCTCCGCTGATGTCCAGGCGTGAAAGGGGATCAGGACGCTCCATCCCCGAGTTATCTCCCACCACCTATCACTCACCTCCGCCCAGCAATGGGCTAAACCTCAGAGGCAGGGAATTCCAGGTCAGGTGGGGCCCTACACCTGTAGGTCAGGGCTAGGAGGTCCTCAGGGTGTGCTTTGCTTGCTCTTCCTCCAAAATGCACACAGGGAGACTGAGGCCCAAAGAGGGAAAGAGACCCCCTCCCAACCTCCAGCTCCAGCTGCAGTTTGCATAGCCAGGGAGCCACGGCTGGGCTGGAGCTGGCCAGGCCCCATGCTTTCCCCCATCCTCCTCTGCTCTCCCGGGGTCCCTAGAGGCGGCTCCGGAGACTGTGCTCCCCCACTTTCGTGGCCACACCTCACCTGGTCTTTGTTTGCTCCATCCTCTGTGGCTCTGCCTGGGATAATTCTCAACAAGCAGGGTCAGCCCCCTGGGAGCAGGCAGCTAACGCGCTTCAGATGTCCAGGCCGAACTACCTCGAGGCAGGCGGATGCTCAGATGCTCATGCTGATTGCTGACGCCTGGCCAGTGGTGATGGCACAGAGAGGACACTTTCTCTTCCCTTCACAGGTGGCTAACTCCTGACGTAGATGCAGCAAGTTCCAGTGTCTCATCCCAGAAACGCTGGTCAGGGAGGCTACTTCAAGGAAATCTGGAAAAAAAAAAAAAAAAAGCAGAAGACAAATGCATTTTGATCGTTTGGGAACTTATTTCTTCTTTCAAAACTTTTCTGGGTCCAGAGCTGGTCTTTCCTCGAAGTCTCAGCAGGGAGCGGGGAAAGAGAGGGTGAAGCCGCTTGTTGATGGCTAGCTCTGTGCTTGCTCTGGGCTGGACACAAATGTCATCTTCCCCGACCTTCACGAGGACCCTGCAAGGTTAAGGCTGTCATCATCCACTTTACAGATAAGGAAAAGAAGGTTCAGAGAGGTGAGGGGACTTGTCCAAGGTCACACAGCCCCTGAGTGGCCAAACAAGGGGTCCAGCTCACCCCTGTCAGCGCCTGTGTCTACCCTACAGCAAACTGAGGTGTTTCCAGAAGGTCGGATGGCTTATTGTGGTCCCAGTTACATGAATGGCGAGGACCTGTGGGCTGCTCTGGGGTTTCAGACACTGAGGCTGCCTTTGCAGCTGACTCACTCCTCAATCTTGACAAGGTAACAGATTTCACATTTACAAAGTGGGAATCGTCATCTCAAATTCAGGTGAAGTAATACTATGATATCATCACTTCCTCAGCTGTGCCCGGACACATTCTAGGAGCCAGACCCTCTGCTGGGGGCTTTCCTCGGGTTAGCCTGTCAAGAGCTCAGATTCTACAGCTCTGCCACTTGCGAGCTGTGTGACCCTGGGCAAGCTACGCTGCCTCTCTGTGCCTTCATTTCCTCATCTGTGAAAGGAGGGTACTATTAGTTCCTATTGTACAGAGTTGTGAAGTTAAATCAGTTATGTTGGTAAAGGGCTTAGAAGGATGCCTGGCACAGGGTACACACCCAGCTCATGTGTTAGCTGATATTGGGCTCAACTTTTTGAGATGGGCCTTGCAATTTTCCCAGAAGTACAGATGTGGAAACTGAGGTAATGCAGTACAGTGATTCTCAGACTTGGTGCGCATCAGAATCACCTACAGAGTTTATTAAAATATGGAGGGCTGGGTCCGCTCCCAGCGTTTCTGGTTCATGAGTCTTGGCTGGGCCTGAGAATGGCATGTCTAGCGTATTCTCCAGTGAGGCTGCTACTGCTGGCCCAGCGGCCGCACTTTGGGAACCAGTGCTCAGTAGCCCTGAGTGTGGCCCATTCGGCCAGGGCCAGCTAGGAGGACCTGTAATAGCAAAGGCTCAATAAATAATCTGGCATGTGACTTAAGCGAGTGATTACAGAGAGAGGAAAGGATGTTGGACCAGGAGCCCTGGGGTTCTAGTCCTGAATCTGCTCCCGACTCTCTGTGGGACTAGACCAAATCATCTTTCTCTTGTATTCGTGGTTTTCTCCTCTGTAAAATGGGGATGATGATAACCCTTCCTCACAACGGGGGTCTATGAGGATGAGACAGGGCGTGGCACAGCTCTGACACCCACAGCAAGTATGATGAGGGGGGCCCTAGCTGGTTTGGCTCAGTGGATAGAGCGCTGGCCTGCAGACTAAAGAGTCCCAGGTTTGATTCTGTTCTAGAGCACATGCCCAGATTGCAGGCTCGATCCCCAGTGGGGGGCGTGCAGGAGGCAGCCAATCAATGATTCTCTCTCAGTATTGATGTTTCTATCTCTTGCTCCCTCTCCCTTCCTCTCTAAAATATATTTTAAAAAAATGATGAGGGGAGGGCCTTGGTGGAAGGTGTCAGGCACCGGG